CTGGGTAATTTTTTATTGTTTATTTAGAGATGGGGTGGGGATGTCTCGCTATATTGCCTAGGCTGGTCTTGAACAGACCTCAACCAATTCTCCCGCCTCAGCCTCCCCAGTGCTGGAAGTACAGGCATGAGTTACTGCACCTGGCCCCAAACACTCTTAAAGGTAGCACAGAGAACACTCCAAAAGTTCAATTCCAGAAGTCAGCCAAGGACGAATCATTCAAGCAGTTCTTTCTGAGCATGTGCAAGACGTAAACATATCAGGGTGTCTGGGTTGTTCTTTCTTATCAGGTATTGCCAAATTGTCCCATCAGTAATGTATGAAAATGCTTGTTTCCCCACAGCCTCATCAACAAAATGTGCCAATGTGATAGGTGAGAAATGTTATCACAGTATTGCTGTCATTAGCATTTCAGAAAATTTCGTGTTTGAAGATTTTTTTATTGAATGGCATACTTCTACAAATTATATTTTCTGATTGTTCTGGCTTTACAGAAATGCAATTGACTTTTATATATTCACATTATTCGCAGCTACCTTGCTAAACTCTCCTGTTGTTTCTAGTTATCTGTAGAGTCTTTTGGGTTTTATTTTCTTTTCAATCTTTATGCCTTTCATTCTCTTTCTTATCTCATCTCATTGCTCTGGCTAGGGCCACCCAGTATAACATTGAATAAGTGTGGGCATCTTTGCCTTTCCTCTGATTTTGAAAGGGACACTTTTAATGTTTCCTTTTTAGGATTTTTTTGGGGAGGGAGATAGTTTTTGTTATTAAACCAAAGAATTTCTCATTTTTCTTAGGATTTTTCTTTAAAAATCACAAATTGTCAAATTTGATATCAAATGCATTTTCTGCATCTATAAGCATGATCATATGGTTTTCTCCATTGATCTGTTAAGTATTGATCTATTACTTATATAAGTATTTATATATTTTATAATAGTAAAACCATCTTTGCATTTCTGGTTAAAACTGTTTTTAATTGGCCATGCATGGTGGCAGACTGCCAAGGTGGGCAGATTGCTTGAGCTCAGGAGTTTGAGACCAGCTGGGCAAAATAGCAAGACCTTGTCTCCACAAAAAATATAAAAATCAGGTGTGGTGGGTGTACCTGTATTCTCAGCTACTCAGGGGGCTGAGGTAGGAAGATTGCTTGAGCCTGGGAGGTCAAGGCTGCTGTGAGCCGAGGTTGTGCCACTGCACTCTAGCCTAGGTGACCAAGTGAGACACTGTCTCAAAGATAAAATAAAAACTGTCTTTACTGTGATATGTTTTTCTCTTAATATGCTATTAAATTTGATTTACTAACATTGTATTTAGAGTTTTTGCATCCATTTTTATTAAAAAAATGTATCAGTGATTTCCTTTTTTTGTACTGTAATTTTCTAGTTGTGCTATCAAAGTAAAATTCTTTGGGAGTATATATCTTTTCCTATTCCCTGAAAAT